CACACTTACACACACACACGCACTTACACATACACACACACACATACACACACACACACACACACACACTTACACACACACTTACACACACACTCTACTAAAACACAAACAAACAAACAAACAAACAAGCAAATAAAACGCACAACAAAACCCCTAAAATCTCAGTTACCTGTTGCTCTGGATGCTTGAACTTTGATAATCTATCCATATTTGTTAGTATTAAGCTCGTCATTTTTTTTTCTTTTATGTTCCTATATTATAGAGTGATTGAGTATTTATATCAGGTTTGGGGGGTACTTTCAACATTCTTTTACATCATGAAACTCAAATTCCTGCTATATCCGTTATAACATCCAAATCAAAATATTTGTGATTGTTTACCTCAATAAAATATGGCCTACCTTTTCATTACTATCTTACAACGTAAAATTTATTTATCAGTGTTTGATGCTTAAATTAGGAATGTAAAATGTGTGTTGATTTTCAAGATGGCCGCCATCTCTATGGCAACATGTTACATGCGTCAAATGACAACATGTCACTTGACACATTTACATTGCGTCTGACTGTACTTAATCCATTTACATTGGTCTGTCCTTTTTAAAAATAAACTCACCTGACACCCCCTCCCCCCGCGCCATTTCTCTATTTAACGGGAACATTCATGGAAAAAACCCAACTACATTCTAATATTTTAATTCCAGAGATGAGTTAGTTTCTTGGAAATATGAAGCAAACGAACCCCATGTTGGTAGAAAGGCGTGAATTCTGAACCAAGGGGTTCTTTGTAATCTGACAAAAGCCAAAGGCTGCACAAAGAGATGGAAGACAAAGGACCGCGGAAACGTTGGTGGGTCTCGGCCTGTCTCCACCGTCGGGCGAACAGCGACAGGGACAAAAGTCATAGCTCCGCTCCCAGAACGACAGGAATCTTGGACGTTAATGCAATTTTTGTTATCATGTGAACGCTGTGGAAACGGAAACCTTTTTGGAGAAATAATACTCGTCTTTTGATTCTAGTTTCTGGATATGTGTTGCTATTATGGGGATTT